TGGTCTTTGACATTGACATAATTCATCACTTTGCTATTTGAGATTGAAAATTGATATAAGTAATTATTGAGTTTGTCCACCATCAATCATTTTGGTCATTTCCTAAAAAGACTCTGGTAAATTATTGTATTTTTGTCCAATCAACCATTTCACTTGCTTCTCCATTTAACAGAGATTTTTCACGAAAAAACTAAAATAATTGACAATGGACAAACTCAAGGTCACTTCTATCGATTTTCAATGCCTGAACCAAACTGAGGAGTTATGCCAATCTCATAAACCATTTTGGCTAAAAAACCTCAAAACACTGTTTGACTCCTTACAATAGGAATCGAAGTTCTTGGAGGCAATCTATTTGATTGTATCGTAGCAAAGTTGAGATTTTCCTATGAGTTAAGGACATTTCACCGGCGGGCAAATAACTTTTGTGCCATTAATTTCAACATATCTACGATTCTACAAATCAAAGCTAAATATATATACATAAGTAAATTACTAAAATCACAAGAAGAAAAATTTATGCGCTCACGAAAATCTTTGATTTGTCTGTAAAGAGGAATTACACTCAAGAAGTGGCAAGTATTTTTAATTTCAAATTACCCCATGTGAGGGTTAATATTTAATTATTTAAAGCGCTTGATAATTATTTTGTTTTTGGTCCTCTGAGCTTGTTTGATAAACATTAACCACTGAATTACGACGAAAACCAAAAATCAGTAAGTGTAGAAGTTTTAGTTATTTTCATTTTCAAGTTATATTTCATACATTCCCCATCATTTCTTCATCACCCCTCTTTTCCGACTTTATACTTCTTCATCTCCAAGACGAAAACTAAAAACTACAAACAAAATAAACGATCTAAAAAGAAAAACACGTTGGCCCCGAAGGAAGGGGCTGCAGGAAGGGGCCCGAGGGCCTGTTGATTCTTCTCCAGCCATGGAGGGCCCGAGTGAGGGTGGGAGCCCGAGCACAAGGGGGTGGAGAGTTGACAGGCCTGCAGCCCAAAGGCCAGGCATTTTTTTATTGTTTTTTGTGTCAGCTCGAGGCCCTACAGCCCCATTTCCCTGTTTTTTTTTATATTATATTATTTAAACAAAAAAAAAAACTACTATTTTATTACCTATTGCCAGGGGGTAGGGCTCCAAGGGTGAAAATGCAAAAAGTAATTACTGTTTATTAATGGTAGTTACAATTCATTAAAGGCAGTTACTGTTCAATATAATGGATTCAATAGTGGATTGTCAGGGGGAGGACTCCAAAGGTGGAGTTGCTCTTAGAGCCCCTGGAGTTTCTTCGTTTCTCAACAGGATTCTCTCCGGATTGGATTCTGGAATCCGTGAATTGTGTCTATTTATCGTATATCATACGATCAGTTTTTGTCAAGTACTGTTTATATTTATTTTTAAATAAAAATATTTAAAATGATTTATAACTGTACGATATATGATGAACGAACACAATTCACATATTACGAGATCCTGAGGATCCTACGGACTCCGTTTCAACAGAGTGACTCACTTGAGACTCGACGAGACCCATGCTTTGTGCAAATTTCAAAAATTCAAATTTCAAATTGAAAGGTAAGCTATTTACGCTCCGCAATTCACCATTTCTCCTTTCAAATATCTAGGGTTTCATCATCGTAAGCTTTTTAACATTTGGGGAAATTGCAGTTCTGCTGTAAGTTGGAAGTTGGAGCTTCAATGGCGGAAGAAGGTGATGCTTTTTATGTTGTTCGGAAGGGCAACGTCATTGGCATTTACAAAAACTTTATGGATTGCCAAAGCCAAGCCGGTTCTTCGGTAATACTTTACCACCTTTTTACCAATGTTAAAGAAAACTTGGCTGATTTTTCTCTGATTTTTCCCAATTTCTTTATCAATTTTGGCTAACCTAGTTGAATTCTCGCTTGGGTTTTCTTTAAATTTGTTAAAATAACCGTAATTTCTTCCTATTGTTTGGTTATGGTGTATGCTATGTTAAAGGCTTGTGCTTTCTGGTGGTAGTGTGACATTTTTGCTTCTACATACAAATTGTGGTGTGAAATATGCTTTTAGAGATTAATAAGAAAGTGCTTTTTTAAGAAGTTAATTTACATATGAGGTGGTTTTTTTTGCTTTTTAGGTATGCAATCCTTCTGTAAGTGTGTTCAAAGGCCACTGTTTGCCTAAGGAGGCTGAGGAGTACCTCGTCTCGCACGGCCTTAAGAATGTTTCTTATACTATCAGTGCCAGTGATGTGAAAGATGACGATCTTTTTGGAAAGCTCGTTGCTTGTCCTTACCAGGTTTGATGTTTTGCTCTGCTCTTTTTTATGGCATTTGGCATGGAAATAGGCATTGTATCATAGATGATCTTATATTCGTTTACTGATTGTGTAATTGGGCATGTTCATAACTTTCAGCAGCCAGATTCTCCTGCCAAGGACTCACCGCCAAAGAGATCGCATGAGGTGGCCGGCGCTACTGCATTCCCAATCTCTCAGACTCAGAGAAAGCATTTCAAATCTGATGATCAACCTGAAGCTCTTGAAAATTCATCCAGTTGTGTAAGTTTCCGTTTGTCGCGTATGCTAATACTTTGTAGTAAACTTAATCTACCTACGTTTCTATTTGTGCATATTCATAATTTTCAGCAGCCAGATTCTTCTATAGTAAAATCAGATGCTAAGGACTCACCACCTAGGGGATTGCAGGACATGATTGGATCTACTCCATTCCCAATATCTCAGAGGAAGCATTTCACACCGGATAACTACATTGAAAATCTAGGAATTTCTTCTTTTTGTGTAAGTTTTATTTGTGAAATCGAATGTGTCAAATCACATTGTTATAGTTATGATAAGTTGAAAAATGTTTGTGACCAATGTATTTTTTCAGCAAACATGTATGCTTGAGTTTGATGGTGCTTCAAAAGGAAATCCTGGACAATCTGGTGCAGGAGCTGTGCTACGAGCTGAAGACGGAAGCGCTGTATGCAGTTCATTGAAACAGTTTAGTTCTTATACAGCATATTTTTCTGTAAAATCTAGCTCTTTATTTATATCATTGGGTTTTATAGGTGTACCGCTTGCGTGAAGGGGTGGGAATTGCAACAAATAACGTTGCAGAATATCGAGCTGTAATTCTGGGATTGAAATATGCTCTTGAGAAGGGATATAAACACATTCGGGTTAAAGGAGACTCTAAACTTGTCTGCATGCAGGTTCGTAACTTTGTTTATGTTATAGCACTTGAGTTTTTTAAGTCCTTCGTTTGTTGATAAGTCTTATGACGCTCTCTGATATAACAGGTCCAAGGTCTCTGGAAAACAAAAAATCCGAATATGGTTGACCTGTGTGAAGTGGCCAAGGAGCTGAAAGACATGTTTAAGTCATTTGAGATCAATCATGTTCTTAGGGTGAGTTCAGTCGTGCTAGAAGAAAATTTGTAATGTAATACTTCCTGTGATAAATCTTCAAGACTAGAAGAACTTGATTTGAGGAGAGTATGAGAAGGGATTAAATATGAACTCTTTCGAAAGTGACAGTCTGCTATGTGTTGCAGGAATACAATTCTGAGGCTGACGTTCAAGCAAATCAAGCAATAAATCTTCGAGGTGAGTGGCTTCCAGTTCTACTGAATTCATCAACTTTTGATGGTTTTTGATTGTTCCCCATATTTATTCGAACTAATCGGATCTTATGCTTGAACAGATGGACAAGTTGAAGTGGATTGGAATGGGAAATAGCTCAAATAAAATACTGGAAAGGGGACGGCATTGTTTTGTATGCCGAAAGAATCAATCTATTGGAAATGTTAGAAGATGTTTTGAACTTTTGATGAGCAGAGCTCTCCTTGCTATCTACATCCCAACTCCTTGATGTAAAGTTTTCAGTGACGGTTTTGGAACCCAAAATTTATTGCTAACGTAAGGCTCGTCTGAGAGTGCTGATGTCGGAAGCACTTTTGCTCGTAAGTGCTTTTGTTAGAAGTGAATTTTCAAGAAACACATTGAGACTGTTATTAAATTTCGTAAGTGTGTTTTTCTCAGAATTGCCTCTGCTCCTCAAATCAATTTTACAACCATAAGTACTTCTATACTTTTCTGTCAAACATGGTTAAAAGCGTTTTATATTGAAGTATTCAAATATATGGGATGACATTGAGATTCAAACGTGGGTGTAAATTTGAGAAGATGAAAAACATGTAGAAGTTTTGAGACCACATCGGGAAACATTGAATTCTCAATGGCCTCTATATAGGTCAAGTCCTTTATACTAGTAGTTAGGATTTGAACCATTTGGAAAAGGATTGAAGACTTGGGCCTTTTGGTTGTGTGGATTATGTTTGTATAATATAGCCTAAAACAATTAACATTAACTAATCAAGACAAGGGTCTTGGGCCTTGGAATTTAAAATTAATAAGATACATTAATTTTAAATTCGAATTAAGTTTTTAATTAATTTATTAATTAAAAAATGTTTCGATTAAAAGACACAACTCTTTCTAAGAGTTGTGTATTTTCAAATACTTTGAACATGTATTTGAAAAGGTGTGAAACAACTTATATATTTGCAATCACAGTTTTCAAGTAGGATCATCTTTTATTATGTACAAAATTTCCAGACAGTAAACACACAAAATAATTCGCTAGAATTCTATAATCCAGTGTTGGTTGTAGAATTAAGCAGTTGTATCCTGGTCGAGCAGACGTTGTAGAACCATAAGCACAAGAGTAGGACAAAAATACTGTTCGAAGGACATAGCTATTGCGCTAGCCTCTACCTTTGATTCGATCAAGTTAGTATCATTTCAATTCCTGTATTTATTTATGTATTTCATTCTGTACATCGAGTATTTTTTGTTAATAAAATATTAAAATTTCAATTTCTATAATTTTTGTTATTTTTATTTATTTCTGAATTGTTCTCAAACAAAACAACGGATGGCCGGGATTAATTTTCCAATTTCTAGGAAACTAGATAGGGAGCCAAAGGCCCAAACGGCCCAATACCCCCCTTCTCTCTCACATTTCTTCGACTTAACGTCTCAGAGCAGTTGGCTGGATAATGCTGTGGTGAGAAAAAACACAGAGGAATCAGAAACGAAGATAAAACTCACCGCAAACAAATGGCCACCGTTTCAGCCTCCACATTCTCTCCTATCCCATCCTTCCGCACTCCAAACCATTCCCATTCCCTCGGGATTCCGATTCTCTCTCCAACCGTCTCGTTTCGGAACGTTTCCGCCTCTTTCCAGCGGTTGACGCACAAGGACCGCCGGTTCTGGAGACCCACAATTCTGAAGGCCGTCGAAGAGGAAACCCCAATTCCAGCTGAAGAAGAAGCAGCGGTCAGCAGCGAGCAGCCGGAGCAGCCCGTTTCGGTCCCCGTTTCGCCCTCCGATACTCTCACCATGGTTTTCCAGGTAAACCCAGCTAGTAAATTTCTCGAAGTTTGTAACTTTAGGAATTATGATCAAATTGTGAATCTTATGTAGGAAGTACTTCTGCTGAAAAGCGCTTTTTCTATAAACATGTTATTGAAATTCCAATTGAGAAGCACCCAGCACTTAGCAGGTGCTTCCAGAAAGCGCTTTCTTGACTTAGAAGCATTTTAAGTTTTTTTGCCAAAAGTCACAAGCGCTTCTGGTTGTCGTAAGCACTTCTAGGCCTTATAGAAGCAATACCAAGCATCTTCATTTGCATTAATCTGGAACTTGAAGTGGGTTTTTGCAGTTAATTTCACTGGTGCCCTGCAAATTTTGAAGAAATTATTTTACTTGGGGGGTTTTAACAACTTATACACTGATGAATGACATGTCTTTTGTTCTGTATAATATCTGAAGGCAGATGGAACGATGAGTGATGCGGCTATCCCATCAGTAACCAAAGCCTTACAGGTACAATTTCCATTTTTTAGTAATGCCGATGTCGAAATTCTGAATCGAATTCTGGATTCTTCTTGGTAATTTGTTACAAGTCATGGATTTTGTTGCAGGAAACTGAAGGCATTACCAACTTAAAAGTTGAAGTCATTGAGGGTATTGCAACTGTTGAGGTGCGTATGAAAATTCCAATCTTGGGTCTTGTAACAAATAGCGAAATATATGTTACCAGAGTATTCATAATAGCAGCGTTACCCCTCCTCCGTTGCACTCAAGTTCGAATCCCCCTCCCCATAGATTAGAGTGATACATGTTATATATCGACTTGTCAAAGATAATGTTTACCATGTGCTCAATACCAGATTTTCCGTAAATTTCTATGTACTTCGATCACATCTGATTAATTTCGGTGTTTTAGGCAGTGTGAGATGCATTCCCATAAATTTCTACGTACTATGATCACATCTTTTCAACTTCGGGTGTTTTAGGTTGTGTGAGATACATTCCGGTTCTAATGAGAATCACCGGTAAATAACTTCTTCTCTTGTTTCCAGTTGACGAAACAGACGACTGTACAAGCTACCGGGGTGGCTTCCAGTTTGGTGGAGACCATACAGAGTAAAGGATTTAAGCTACAAACATTGAATTTAAGCTTTGATGAGGAAGAGGAAGTTGCTGCTGTCTGAATTTTGTAATGCTGCTCATCTAGGATTTGAGGAATTTGAGGTAAAACGAAAAAATGACAAGTATATCGTTGAATCTATTTCCTCGTATCCATGTTTTGTACTTCTGTAGTTAGTGAAGAAGGATTGAGATTGTATTTTGGACAGGGTGGATAAACACAATCACTTTTCCAGACCTCGCAAAAAAGAAACAGGAACAATATTATTGTTCTTGTGAGTTGTCTTTGGGCAAAGCTTTTGGGCTACACTGCCATTTGACCATTTGAACTATTGCTCCAGTTGAAATTGATCACTTGAACTATTCTTTTAGTAAATTAACCTCCTGAACTATTTGGAATCAGCCAATTAACCTCCCATCGTAAGTTCAAAGAAATTTCATCCATTTTGCCGTCAAATGTTGGCACGTGACAAGCACGTGATTCACTCTTGAGGATAAAATGGTGCTAGTATAAATTTCATCGAATCTGACGGTGAGGAGTTAATTGGCTGATTCCGAATAGTTCAGGGTTAATTTATCAAAAAAAAAAAAATGTTCAAGGGGTTAATTTCTACTGGAGTAATAGTTCAGATGGTCCAATGACAGTTTACCAAGCTTTAATTTGGAATATTGTTGTTCAATGGGTCCAACTGGGCCTGCTGAGATTAATTTTGCTCTGGTCCAGGGCCCGGCTATAGGACGACCCTCTTGGGTTTTCCAATCAGATTGGTCAAGACCGGCCCAGGCCATATATTGCTGGCGTTGTCCCACCCACTTTTTTTGTTCTGAATTTTCTATTTGGTTGCGTGTCTCACTTGAACTTCCACTTTGTACTAATGTCCTTCCAACAACCAATTTTGTCACAAAATTAAGGGATTGAAACATTTGGAGACGCCCAAAAAAATAAAATTAAAATAAAGTATTGAATGTCGCACATTTAAGGTACACTCAAAGGCTTCAAATGTGACCATAAATTTGATGAAATAATTGAATGGACTACCATGAATTGAAAATACAAGAGACTCGTATTCAAATTGAAAGTTAAGAGAGCAAAGGGAATCACAACCTCTCATTCGCAACTTGATTTTATTTTGATTATTTGAAAACCATATTGACATAAACCACACAGAGATTATTTCATTTTCCGGAACAACGTAGAAATTTTTGTTAGAACATATTGATATAAAACACGCATGCTCATTGAGTTGGAGTCTGCAACTTTACTTACTGTGAAAATGTGAACGTAAAAGAGTCTCAAATCGGTGAAAAAAAATCTTTGCAAGAGAGTATAAGAGGTTGAGCTACTACAATTAGTTTTACGATGAACCTCAATTTTTTTTATGGTATCAAGTTATCTCACGTGTGTAGTCCAACAGCCACACATGCTCCACGTCATTTAATTCGTGTTGTTCACGTATTTGACTTGAAAATTCGCCACTTGAGGGGCCGTATAAGGATCTAAAGGTAAAAGAGTCTCATATAGACAAAAAGAAAAACCTTACAAACGTTTACAATTAAACTATTTCCCATATTACTAATTTGCTAATTAGTTTTACGATGGAACTCCAACTTTTTTTACTGACAGTACTGGCCATTTCACATAATAATTTCGTCCGTACAAATTTGTATGTTTGCATTTACAGGTTCGTGAAGTGTGGAGGAACAGTGCAGAGTCGGAGAGATATCATGTCATTTCCTCACTGGTGGCAACTGGCAATTTGTCACTCTCAACTCAACTGCTGCATTAGCATGCATGGTTCATGGATTATGATGATGGCTCCTTTGGCATTTCCCGCCTGGAGTGAAGTTCCTTTGAGAAGAAAATCTCCCACGGCATAGAAATAACTTCTTTCCCACTCTTTGATGATTTTTTTGGGAAGAGTGATACATAATTAAGTCATCCTCTCTGCCAAATGTGAAAAGAAAAAGTCATTGTCCCTGCATCATCCAGCTGGATTTAACTGGCTAGGATTTTAATGTGAAGAACGAATCGCACGGTGACGAGATTGAATTATTCCTAATATTGTCACTTGATTTTTTAGTGGAATCTAACTTCCTATACATGCTTCATGTTATTTGAGTTGTATTGTTCACGTATGTAAGAGGATGTGTTGAGAATTTTCAACCTTACATTAACGAGATGAGAAACCTAGTATATATATGTGTGTGTGTGTGTGTTTATATGTAAAAGGAATCCCAACTTTCTCATTTAAATCGTGTGTGATATGTTTGCGGAATTTGAATAGCCGATCGATCAATTAAATTGTGCACCGATCGATTAATCTCGTAAATAGTCTCACATATTTGAGTAGTGTGCAATTGTGCATGACGGAATGTGAATGACCAGGTGATCAACTCAACTATGTTAATGAGCAGTTACTCTTATTCTACAATTATCGTTGTGCGTGATTGCATGGCTAACTATACTTTAGCCAAATTGGAATTGGAGTAATCTATAGTCTGTTGTTCGAAGAGGCTGTACATTATATGTCTTCGTTTATATATTATATGGTCCCATAATATATGTGCAACTTGGCTAAACATTTTCATAAATCGCTACAAAAACATCAGATAATAATTAGGGTTCATTTAGCATGCACATGTATTAAGATGAACTGAGGGCCCTAGCTCAAATCTAAAAGACTGAAGACTGATATTTAATAGGATTTTCTCCAACATATCCTTACCAAACACGTTTGCCATGAAAAATCTCATTTGGTTTCAAGCTTGAGGGGTTTAATATTGTGTAGGGAGGGCTTCTACATAGCAAGAATGATCTAGATAAAACAAGTTTATCGTTACTGTAGTATTTTTGGCTTAGTAGTATAAGGATACGTAGAGATATGTAAGGCATTAAATTGATGAATTGGGATCAAGGGCAGATGTACATTGTGACCAACGTGGTCCGAGGACCATTGGGAAGCCGGGAAACAAGCATGTGAAGGTCTTTTGCTCAACAAATGCTTGCTAGGCACATTTTAGCAGCACTCGACATGTTGCATCAACAATACTCGACAAATGTTCTCGATAGCACTCATCAGGTTGTTTCGGCAAATGTCATATTTGTTGACATATGCATAATATAGTTCAGTTGACGACAACAAGTCATCAAGTGTTCGACAAAATGCCTTCATGAACAAATTAAAATTTGTTTATGCGCTTCGCACTATATTTCTATCTGAAAAAATGTAGACTTTTAATATTGAGATCCCAAAATTTCAAATCCGGAATTTACTACTGCTCGGGATGTGACATATGTAATAGTAAATAATTTTTGTATAATCTTTATTCTAAATAGCATACCATAAGCGTAATAACATATTCTCAATTATACCTAAACCTGAAACATGTTTTCATCAATTGGTATAAACGAAACCAGTTGTAATATATGATTCCGTGATTTGTTTAATCAAACTTGTTACTGTGATGTACCCATTGGATCGGATCTTGCTCAAAAACCAGCTGTGTTTATTAACTAAACCTAACATGTTCAAATCTAATACTTTTTTCTTAAAAAGGAACTTTGAAGTACCAAGTGGAGAGAAGCCATAAACCCAGAACCCAACGCTGTCTATGTTATTTTAACCCAAATGAATCTAATAAACAAGCTAGGAAGGTCGGCCGGTCAGATCAGATCAGATCAACCAACTAATGAAATTTACTAGAGGAAACGCAGCTTCCAACTAATGAAATTTACTAGAGGAAACGCAGCTTCAAACATATATGGTGTTTTATGGTACAAGATATCACTAAACTTTTCAAGGGAGGTGATATCACCCTATTCCGCTTAAGTTTTAATTGTGGAATTGAATAAATAGAAGAGGATTAAAAATATGCCGACAAAACCATCTATTTTTTAACTGTTAACTCATAATTTTTACAATATTAAACCAAAACGATTAAAACATTTAAAAGATCTCATACTTCGGGCCTTGTAAATAATTCCCATAACTTTTGCTTCAAGTTTTTTTATGCGACAGACCTCGTGTGGAGGATATTAATTTACTTGGGATGGGATTCGAGGAGATAAGCAAGAAGGAAATACAGATATATAATAATTTAGTAGACAGGTTTCTTCTCCTAGGGGAAGGTGGGTCGAACTCTCGAGTCAGATTTTGGGACAGCAAACCCATAACATGTGTCTCTGTGATGATCACATTCATCAAGTAGCTGGCATATGCATATCACTTTGTCTAAATAAAGCTTAGATATTCATCTGTCTTTTGTAAGTTAATATGTATTTTAAATTAATCACGTATTTTATTAATTTATTTTGAAATAATAGTGTATAACGAGTTTGAAATACATATGTATAGTATGACCTCTTTAAATATTGAAACAATTTACTTACACCAACTCTGAAACTTCTGTTGAGTTTCGAATTATTAAGAGCAACTCAACTTCTTATGATATTAATTATTCAAGTTATAAGATAATCAATAATTATTGTGTAGTGAATAACTATTATTCGATAGCATTTTTACTCTGTAAATGAATTGTTTGAGCAATTGGTATTAAAAAATTATTATTTTTAATTTCAAAATCTCTTCTTTTTTTTTTTTTGCATTTTTCTGTATTCTTTTATAATTTTTTCTATGTGACTAATTATCCAATTACAAGAGTGACTGAAAGAGGTGGAGTTGCTCTAACGCAAGATAGTTGTAATAAATTTGAGATACGAACCATAGTCAGTGATGTTCTTCTCTCCTCTCTCGGTCTGAGAGAGACTTATCTTAATCAGATAACACAACTTTAACGTTATTTAAAATTAATAATATAGTTTCATTTGTTTAATTTTTAAACATGTTCTTGCGCTGAAATATTGATGAAATGACTTAATTGGTGTAGGGAAGTTTTTCTTCTGCCTCTGCAGTTGACCAGCCAAACCTTTCAACAGTATTTATACCACCTCCCTGCTTCTCCTAATGTCATTACTATCTCAGTAGTCAGTACTTTCTTCTCAGCTCTTGACCCCTCCAGCTGTTTAACAATGGCTTCCAAAACCATGCTCCTTCTCTTTGCAACTGTTCTCCTTTTCACTGCTAGGGTAATTATCTACATCCCTCCAAACCCTAGCATTTCTTTTATTTTTTTCCTCATTAATCAGTATTATTGATATTTTTTTCAGTTTAATTTCCAATATATTTTGGCGTGTCTAAAGTGATCTGATAACCTTGTTTTTGTAGGCTTCATCACTTGACGATCATGAGGAACTCAAGATTAAGGTACTTTTAATTATATACTTTAAACAAAAAGTTCAATTATTGCTAGAAATTTTGACATTCAGTGTTGCGAAATTCTTTAATTTCAGGTTACTTATGTCAAGGCACCAGCTCCACAACCTCTAGTCAAGGCTCCAGCTCCGCCGCCTCTTGTAGTCAAGGCACCCAGTCCACCACTTTCCAAGCCACCGTCTCCACCACTTGCCAAGCCACCATCTCCACCATATACCAAGCCACCAACTCCTGTCAGGCCCCCAGTGAAGCCACCAACTCCTGTCAGTCCCCCAGTGATGCCACCCACTTATCCACCACTTCCTCCGGTTAGGTCCAAAGCAGGTAAATATTTTTCTCACTACCATATAGGGAACTGAAATTTATTTTCTTTACTAATCTAAACCCTTAATCTTGTACTAATCACAAAATGTTATGCCTAACTGGTTCTATAATCCCGCGGACTTGTTCACGAGTTACTTTTTAGTCCGTCAACTTGATTTAAGTTCACGTATCACTTAAGAACGTCGCACGTGAACAAGTTCTTGGACTGAAATGTAATTCGTGCGCTATCGGAATTAAAAACCCTAAATGTACTTGGTTAATTTGTGAGTAAACTTGTTTTTATTACTTTGGTGGGCAGATTGCATCCCATTGTGTGACAAGAGGTGCATGTTGCATTCAAGGAAGAGGGTGTGCATGAGAGCTTGCATGACGTGCTGCGACCGCTGCCGCTGCGTTCCTCCGGGAACATTCGGCAACCAGGAAAGATGCGGCAAGTGCTACACCGATATGGTCACCCATGGCAACAGAACCAAATGCCCTTGAATTTAAATAAACCCTGGTTTATATATTCAATCATATTTTTAGAGTTAATTAAGGTCAATTAGCAAGGTGTTTGATTAGGTAATATTCAATATTTAAGCATTGTCTGTAATAAGTATGAGAGGGTGGGAGGAAACTAACTGATTTTCTTCCTTTGTCCTTTCTCGTTTCTACTGCTTACTGCATGTGTATTGAATGGGATAATTATTAATTAGTGCTTGTGTGGCCCTTGAGATTTAAATTAGATAGTATGTATTCAATTTCAATTGTCATGTAGCAGATGATATTCATTATATCAATGTTTTTTTTTATTTTTTGGTAAACATGTTTGAAACAGAGAAATATATGAAAAGAGGGGACTTCAGTTTATATCATAGAAATTTTTAAATTTAGACTAAAATTGACAGGTTTTATGGATATTTTTTTTGACATAGTAGTTAAATAGTCGACTACCATATGACATTCTTTCAAGTTTTATTTTAAATTTATAACCGATATCGATATATATTTTTGTAGATTTGCATATCGATATTTGCATAAATTTCGATACTTTTAAACACTGGACGATATATTGTTCTTCTCAGATTTTAGGCTAGTTTTTGAGCTATTTTTGAGTTCAAGTCTTGCAAAACAGGTTTACCAAACAAGTTTTTGAGTTGTGAACTGAAAAACATTTTTTTAATGAAAACTTTAAACTCGGGCTCTTAAGTTTTTCAACCTTTCAAGATAAGTTTAATACCAAATTGTGACTGAATAATTGTGTGGTTTAGGTTACTTCTCCATCTTCAATATCTTTGTATTAAAATTAATTTAAAAAATGGGTATATTATGATATCAAAGATACAAGCTCTCCTACCCAAATTTGGGCCAGTTTCGAATTTAAAAAGTTTTTTTTTGTTTGCCAGTGTGATAATATTGGGCCCTCAATTGCACGATGGGCCTTTGGTGACCTATTTTATTGGTTGGATGGGCCTTGACCAAAGTTCAAGCTAGGTCCAACTATTTTGTTTTATTTTTCTTTTTTCAACAACTTGAAGCTAACTTCATTTGACGAGGATCACATCGATAAGGATCTCATCTCAAGATAAACAAGGTACGTATTAATTTCTTGAAGAGAAATGCTATTTTTCTTCTCTTTAAAATAGTTGATTAGTGCTACAGTATGATGATATTTCTCTTCACTTGGAAGTGAGAGGCATTCGGTTCAAATCTCGTGGATTGCGAATTTAATATCAAATTAGGCTATCCATAATATGACTTAGCCGAAGTCCCATTTCCCTTAATGTAAAAATATCGATGTACTAAAAAAAATTTGATTAGTAATATGGTCAATAAATATAGTCCAAATAGCAATACCGAAAAAGTAGAGGTTGTACCATAAAAATTAATTGATAATATGGGGAATAGTTCAATTATTTATCAGCACATGCAAGATCCCTTCATTCACTAATGTGAATTTGATACTTTAAACATGTCCTCTCACGTATGTCGAATTTTCAAGTCTAGCATGTGGACAATATAAATCAGATGATGTGGAACGCGTGTGGCTATTAGGCTTTACACTCGGGACAATCCACTCTGATACCATGACGAAATTGGAGTTATACCATAAAATCAATTGACAATATAGGAAATAACTCAATTAAGCACATACAAGATCTTTTCATTCTCTGATGTAACAAATACGCTCATACTTGAAATTACTATGGTCTTTTTATATATATATGCATGGAAATGGAAATTAAGGTTTAATATTATGTTCTGGCTGCAGGGCCGTCTTTTGAGGAAGAGGATCTGCTCCGGATCTTAGTGTCCGGAGGCTCCTCATCAAATAATCTGGGCCACACAAATTAAATCCAACGGTTTCTATTAATTCATTTTCTTGGTCCACCACACACAATCGATAACCTTGATTTGACTTGTACACCAATCAATGGTCCAAATTGTTTGATGAGGAGGCTTCGGACACTAAGGTCCGGAGAAGATCCTCTTCCGCCCTTTGAGCAATACCAATGTGTTTATAAGTAATAGAAAATTTAATATCAACCCAAAAGCCTTAGCAAATTTTAAAGAAAACTAAGAAAATTTAAACCCTTTTACTATCTTTTTGTATTACTCTTGCTCTAATTTTTTTTGGGTCAAATGCTATTAAATTTTTCTCTTGTTAATGTCCTTCTATGACATTTACATCATAGTATTATATTATTAATGAACTTGTTTTTGTGATTTCATCTTCATTCTAAGGAGATAATTATGGATGCAAATTTTTGCCGTCTTCTCCTTTCACGAAAATGCACCTGCAAAATAATAACACTTAAGATTAAGGCTAAAAGCCTCACGTGCCCACGATGAATGGGGGGGCTTTGGCAGAAGAATCTCCGATGTTAGAAGAATCTGTGCAAGTCATTTGGTGAGAGCTAAGTCTGGTTCACATTCGGAGAGGCTTGCTACTATGAAGAGTGATAAGGTCGACTCCGCTGCTAAAGTGGCGTCAATGCCTATTCTTCTTGCTGATGAGACTAGTTCGCCTGCTGAGAAATAGGAGACTGCTCACGTGGGCAGTTATGAGAAACCCAACACGCATGTTTCTGGAGAGGCTGCTGAGATCTGTGCGTTTTTTAAGCCATATATGTTTGAAGACATGGATGCGTGTGCCAAGCTTGTTGATGGCGTTAGAGGGATTGTTTGCCCAAGTTCCTTTGTGAAGTATACGACCCAATATAGGAGGACTGCTCTGCTTGCCATGATGCAGAAAACGGCGCTTCTGGCAGGTGAGTCTATACTAATTGACCAAGATGATACCAAGGCTTGGCAATGACTATGGCAGCTGAAGCTTATTCTTTTATCGAGAAAATCAAAAAGTTGGAGTCTGAGCTTGTCGCTTTGAAGGGGTCTAATATATCTGCCCCCACTTCTTTGTAGCTTGAGACCGCTCACTAGGAGATCGTTAACTTGAAAACTAGGCTTGACGTGATCCAATTTAAGTATGAAAGTGCAAAGAAGGAGATTGGTTGTTACATACCTTGGATTTGAGATCTTGAGTGTGTTGTTTCTGAGCTTCGTTCTCCTGCTTATGCAAAGGATAAATAGTTGATTGCTGCTTATAATCAAGTTATCCACTTCCAAAAGATCGTCAATAAGCTTGAACCTCAAGTGTTGGAACTTCAAGGTGCGTTGAAGACCAATGAAAATCTGAAAAAGGAAGTGGATGAGCTGCAACGCGTCTGTGTTCGTCTGCTCGAGGACAATGAACAGATGAAGGGTGAGAAGGCTGGACTCGATGCTTTGCTTGTTTAGAATCAGGACGATTTCTACAAGCTAGGTTATGTAGATCATCTTTTTGGTAGACCGTCTGACTTTGAGTTTGCTAGGAAAGACTTCGAGACTTTCTGTATTTCTCCAGAAGACTTACTTGCCTTTACTTTTAAGGCTTCCATTGGTGAAATAGTCAGAAAAGTTGGTGCCTAGGCTGGGGCAACCGGGGGTGAAATGATGGATGATGCCGCTGTTGAAAGTGTCGCGGTTACTAAAGATGTGGCGACCGAGTAGTCATGGGATGTCCAAGCTGCAGAAGATTAGTCTTCTAGGTAGCCTTTAGGATTTTCTTTGTTTTCCTTGTTGCTTTTTGCTTTGCTTGAACTTATTCAGCCTTTGCTATTTGTTTATCAATTTTGCTAGAAAATTCAATAAACTTGCTTTATTCGTTTTTCTTCATATTCGCTTCTTTTATTTACGCCCAACCGTTGACTTTTAGACCAACTGTAGACATGCTGCTTTTCTATAAGTAGATAGGCCCACATAGCCTATGTAGCCGTAGGTGTTGGTGTAGAATTTTTGCAAAGGTGTTAGTCATAAGGTCGGCAGCTGTCCTTACTTACAGAAGGAGATGAGCTCGCGTGACCACTCGACTTTTAACTTTGGCTTTCTTCAATCCTTTGAGTTGTGTGGCCTGCATCACAACATAGTAAATATTTTTGGGTCATGAAATTCGCTAACCTTTCGTATTAAAAGTACGCGGTTGTTTGGAATTTCGTAAACAAAAGTCCGAAAGAACTCATTGCTCTTTATGTAACCAATTTCGTGGGTTGCATAGCAAGTATTACAACATTTTAGGAATTAGAGTTCCAAGGCAGCCGTCCATAGGGCGTACTACATAATGTGTCTCCTCCGTTTCTAAGGCCCAGTTCCTCGCTGATTTGGCAAAGAGACAAAAAATCCTTCAGTTAACTAAGCCTTGAAAAAGACAATTGTGGCTACTTTTAGGAATCCCAGCGCAAGCCATCGTGCACCTAGTTACACCATGGTAACCCGACTCATTCATGTCTAGATATTCGGAGTGTATAGTTTATCCTCTCTCATCGGAGAATATGGTTGGTCTCCAAAAGTGGTGCAATTCCTGTGATAAGTCCCTAAGAAGGGCGCGATCTTCTTTTGAAGTGTATGAATGATTAGTTATTGTAAGTTTACAGCTGATCCAAGTTGTAAATTACTTATGAATTCCTCATTGAAAAATGAGTGAAACTAACGAAAACTTAGTTGTAAGGTAGGAATTGCATAACAACTGGATAGTCCTCGGCTTGCGAGTTGGTACTCGTTGAGCTGCTTGAGTCTTCGGGCTTTGATGTAGCGGGAGGTCATGCATGGTACTTTCTCAGGTTGTAGGCATTCCATTGCTTTTCGATTTCTTTGTCGTTCATGGTGGCAAGGGTGTAACTACATTTGCCGCCTACTATGCTGATCTTGTACAGACTTTTCTAGATGAGATCCATCTTTTTGGAGCATTCTCTGGGGCAGTGATGAAGGCTTTTCTTAGGACTAGATCTCCAGGCTGGGACTACAGAATCTTGGCCTTTTGTTGTAGCTGGAGAGAAGCTTCTGCTGGTAGGCTGCGATGTGGGTGATAATCTTCTCGTGTTTTTCTTTTGCCAGATCTAAGTTTGTGGCCATCTTCTTTTTGTTCTGATCGATGCTTGGCATGATGACATTAGGATGAATGATTGCTTCTGAACCAAATGCCAAAGAGAAATGAGCCTCACTAGTTGCTCGTCATTTGGTTGTGTGATAAATCCATAGACATCCGGGAAGTTCGTTTGGCCATTTTTCCTTCTTGTTGGTGAGGGATTTCTTAAGGCAGTCGAGAATCTATTTGTTGGATGCTTTGGCTTGCCCATTGCCTTGAAGATACCTTGACGTGGACATATGCTGCTTAATGCCTTATTTATGGAACAACTTCACCAAATATGTGCCTACGAATTGCGGGCCATTGTCTGTGACGATGGATTAAGGGATGCCAAATCGGCAAATGATGTTCCT